CCTTCCTTCCTTCCTTCCTTCCTTCCTTCCTTCCTTCCTTCCTTCCTATCTTCTTTCCTTCCACACAAGTCTCATGGAGTTCAAACTGGACTTGAAATCACTGTATAGCCGAGGCTAGCCCTCCTGCCTTACCTCTTGAGTGTGGGGATGACGGGGGTGGGGGGTGGGGGTGGGGGTGTGTCACAAGTGTTAGACAAGCAGTTACCAGATCAGCTGAGTCCCAGCCCTATTTTTGAGAAAGAATCTCATTCTATAGCCTAGGAAGGTCTGTAACTGACAGCAATCCTCCTGCCTCAGCCTCCTGAGTACTGGGATCATAGGTGTGCATCCCAACATCCTGTAACTATTTACTCTGGTTCCAACACTCTAACAGCCTAGTATCTTTTCAGAAACTATTTTGCCTACAAAGCCATCAAGCAAGAGGCACAGGCGCTTCCAAGGTATCTGCAGATGTCACCATAGAGGCCCGGGGAGTCTCCCTAGGCAGGAATCACAGTGACCCAGAATGGGAGTGCAGGGCCTCAGACACAGGCCAAACCCTGCTACCAAGTCCCACTGGATCTGTGCCACCCGGCCCACTATGTCATGTTACTTAGGAGGTGGGTTTCCTGTCATCTTCAAATGCCCCGCCGATTCCCCGCCCTCGCCATCCTCACACTTCACTGGCATTGGCCCGATGACTGGCATTGGCCCGACTCACTCACCCAGGTCGATGTCGGTGAAGCCCTCGGCGGCAATGGCGTCGGCCGTGTTCTTATCTATGCTCTCCAGGCACAGACTGGCCAGCTGGGGCTCATCAAAGAGCCGCGCCTAGAGAGAGGAAGGTCAGCACCGTCAACACAGGCAATCCCATCGGCCCGGTGTGGAGCATGAGGAGGCTGAGGCGGGGGATGGAGGGCTCGGGTCAGCCTGGGCGCCAGACCACTGCAAAATCAAAGCTGTGAGTACCCAGCAGGTGACAATGCTGCCACTGAGCCTGGGATGTGAGGCTGCCCCTAGAACTCAGCTCTGAGGAGCAAACTCCAGGATTCCTCTCCTGTGCACACACATCAGAGATGGAAACCACAGTAACAGGAGCTCCAGGAGGGTCTCAAGGTGGGACAGGGTCCAGCACACACTTAGGGAGCTGGGTGTGTGGCCAGCGACAAGGCTCAGTGGGGAAAGGTGCTTGCCACCAAGCCTGAGTTCCATCTTGGCGACTCCAAGATCTGACTTCTGGGGACAGAACTGACTTCATGCAGAAATGTCCTCTAGCCACCACATGCCTGAGCCACACCCATACCCAGAGTAGTACAGGCTAGCCTAGTCTGCAGTCCAGGTCCAGGTAGGGCTGAGAAGTTACTGCAGAGGAGCTGGCTCACATCCCAGCCACAGCAACCCGGAATTCTAGCATGAAAGGAGGCCAGTGTCTTCTGGGGACACCTATACACACGCACACGCACGCATGCACACACGGGCACCACACACATCCACACAACACACCTACGCGCATGCACACAAGCATGCGCACACACACATGCACAAAATGAGAAACTGAAGCAGAGACCCAGAGCCTGGGGGCAAAGTGATGGCACACACCTTTGATCTCAGAACTGAGGAGGCGGAGGCAGGCAGATCTCTGAGTTTAGGACTACACAGTAAGACCCCCATCTCCAAAACCAAAACAACAACAAAGGAAAAAAAAGAGAGAGGGAGGGAGGGAGGGAAGAGAGAAAGAAAGAGAAAGAGAGAGAGAGAGAGAGAGAGAGAGAGAGAGAGAGAGAGAACGAGAGCACCAGGCTGTGGTGGCGCACGCCTTTAATCCCAGCACTTGGGAGGCAGAGGCAGGCAGATTTCTGAGTTCGAGGCCAGCCTGGTCTACAGAGTGAGTTCCAGGACAGCCAGGGCTACATAGAGAAACCCTGTCTCGAAAAACCAAAAAAAAAAAAAAAAGAAAGGAAGGAAAGAAGTGGCCAGCGGCTGAGGACAGGTGGCAGCCTCCAGCCTCAGTGTGGTCACACAGGACCACCCCCACCTGTGTGAGCAGCATGAAGGCGTTGTCAGCCCGCAGGTGCTTCTTCAGGAACTCCACACAGTGCGCCTCCAGCGCAGGCACCGCGTACTTCTTGGCTGTGTACAGTGTGGTCATCACTGTCTCGGGCCCGATCTGCACTTCATCTGAGTACAGGAACCTGCAGGAGACACGGACTGTGACAGTGTGGCCCCACAGCCACTCCATCTGGCCAGGCACCACAGGTTTGCAAAACACCATTCAGGAACCTGCTAGAATTGGCATCTGTCATTGTCTCCTGACTTGGAGATAGCCCTTGGTGAGATGTCCATGCACAGGCTGCCCTGGGCTAGCACACACCTGAGCTACTGTAGCTCACAGCCTATGGCCCTGTGGCCGAGCTTAGGCAGTCATGGGCAAATCACACGGTGATGGACCTCTGGCCCCAGTGGGGACAGTATGCTTATCTACACCGCACTGATCATGGGCTGGGTGGGCACAAGGCCCTGGGCTCCATCCCGGCACCACAGGTTAGGCATGGCATACAGATTCTGTCTCTTCTCCAGGAAAGTTTTAGCATCCTGCCCTGGTGGGCTCTGCAGGCGTCCCCAGGAGTCTGTCTGTCTTTCCACACTCTACTACCCCACCACAGTCAGAGCCACCAGGAAACGTACTTGAGAAGCGCCAGGAAGGCCGCAGGCTCCACGTCAGGCAGCTCAATCTCAGTGGACGTGGTAGCCATGCCGCCATTGAACATGGCATCGAAGACAGCGCTGCCCACAGCTAGCACAAACCTGTGTAAGAAGACAGGGTGTCCGCCCCTTAGTCCTACGGGTGGCCTCCATGTGGCCCAGGCCAGCCAGCGTCCCCTGCCACACCTGCCTGCAGACTCCTGCCAACCCTCGTAGAGGCCTTTCCAGGCCTGGGACCCTTCTAGGAGAGAACCGGGAAGAGGAGGCTGTAGAGGCCAGCATGAGGGACAGTCTACATTCCTGTATGTGTGTCTCCCTCCTCCTTCCTGCCTCCTGTCAGCCCTTCAGCCCTCCTCAGGAATCAAGTCCTCCCCCGCCCACTCCCTTCCCTACCCTCATTTCTCTAGGACTTGGTGACAAGCTTGGGGACCTGACCCTCAACATGGGGAAGCAGACAACACCTCAGTGATGAGACAGCTTGGGTCAGAGCCCACAGGCTGAGGGAGGATGCTAAGAACAGCGGGGCCTGTGGCGCTGGGTGGGATGAGAAGCAACAGGGACTGCCGTGAGCACTCCAGCTGGTGCAGTGTGGATAGGACGGACAGCATGGTGGCCAGCCTCAAGACCCTCAGTGACTTGGCTCGGGACACAGCTCATGTTCTAATAATCACGGGGCCAGCCCAGCGCCCTGTCGTGCATGAGCGTGGGAATGGCTGCTGAGTCACAGGAATAAGCTTGCTCTGTGAATGTGTCCCACTCAGTTGTCCCCACAGTGATGGGGTGGCTCTGAGCAGCCTCTCCAGCTGGACACCCTGGCTAGGCAGCTGGGCCATGAACCAAGGAAGAGCTAGGAGCCATATCAGAACCCCTGCTCAAAGCTGGACAAGGCCCACAAGCCTCCGCAGAACCTAGGCTCCATCCTGCCTGGAGGGTCCACTCTCTTAGGAGGCTACTCCTGCCGCGAGTGTGACCACTGCTGGCAGGAGAGGCCCTATTTCCACACTTTTTCAGGAGCCAAAGCAGGAGTTCAGGATAATCTGAACAAGTCAATGAGACCTTATCTCAAAAACTCAAAATGCAAAAGACTAATGGATCAGGGGTGGAGCTCCGCCTAGATCCCCCAGTGAGGGGGCTAGGGGCGTGGTCAGGGGTGGAGCTCCGCCTAGATCCCCCAGTGAGGGGCTAGGGGCGTGGTCAGGGGTGGAGCCCCTCCTAGATCCCCCAGTGAGGGGCTAGGGGCGTGGTTCAGCAGTATAGCACCCACATAGCATGTGTATGCCTGTGGATTTCATGACCATCACTGCAAAATCCAAGTGGAGATAGATGGCTGAGGACAAACGGAGGCGGATGCTGGGTTGTGTGGCCACAAGCTTTTGGGCATCAGGGACTAGAGCTGGGAGTCTTGGAAAGAATACAGCAGCCTGGCTGGATGAGGGTCTTGGCTCTAGGGTCCCAATGGTAGAAAGACACATCTCAGTCAGGGCCCTCCAGCCTGCAAGCTCCTGTCCCCATCCAGTTCCCCGGGTGGGGGCTGGGAGACAACTGCTCAGCCCCACACAGCAGCTCCCGGGCCCACGCAGTGATACGCCAGAAATAATACGCCTGGGCTGCTTTCTGGTTAGGAAGCATCTAGTCCCCACAGGGAAGCTATGCCCCACGCAGAGACCCAAAGCAGACACTGAGGCACGCAGCTGCACTGGCATAGCCAGGAGCGCCTGCCAGGATGCTCACAGCTGGCCTTCTGTAAGTCACAGCAATGAGGCGACCCATCCCAGGGGGTGTCCAGACCACACTGCTTGTCACGGCCTCTACCCCTCTGCGGACACCAAGCTGCCTTCAGAGTTTGGTCACCAGCCTTCCCCTTGTGCCTCTGCAGCTCCTTGTAAGAGACAGGAACACACATGCATGTCACACACAACGTGGTCAGACACACAGTGTGCTCCACCTGCCTACTGGAGCATCACACAGCCATGAACAGGAACAAGGCTACTCACATGGCCCAGACGGGGAACCAGAGACTGGGGAGGACTCAGGAGCTAGCCTTGGGCAGATGTCAAGTGCTGGACAGTGGTGCGGCCTGCAGTGGTCAGTGGGCTTGGTCTCAGTGAGCCGTGCTCAAGTCAATTGAAATGATGATCAGGGACCGGACAGACGGTTCAATGGTTAAGACCACACACCACTCCTGCAAAGACCCAGTGTAGCTCACAGCTGGTTCCAGGGACCCAACGCCTCGCCTCTGCAGACGGAGCATGCATGGGCACATACAGACGCATGTATGAACACGTACCCACAACAGGAGCACAGACCTGAACACACAGGCACAAACAGACACACACACGAAGACACATGGAGCACACACAATGAGAAATAAATCTGTTGTTCTCATTTGTTGAGACAGGTTTTCTGTGTGTAGCTCTATACGTGCTTTGTAGACCAGGCTAGCCTGGAACTCACAGAGATCCTCCTGCCTCTGCCTCCTAAATGCTGGGATTAAAGGTATACACCAGCATGCTCAGCTCTGAAGAGAAGTTTAAGAAAGTATGGTGAGTACTGGTTTTCCCAGCTGACATGAGGTGAACTAAGAAATTACAATAAATGAGCCAGGCGTGGAGCCGCACCTCTGTCACTGCAGGCCCCAGGAGTCAGAGGCAGGAGAACTGTGGTTAGCTGGAGGCCAGCTTGGGCTCTGTAGCAAGACCCAGTCTCAAAACCAAACAAAACCATACACAGGGAGTGGGTGGGGTGGTGGGTGAGTGCACAGCAGACACAGGCCCTGGGCTCTAGCCTCAGCTTGGTCAGACAGGACACACAACAGGGAAGCCATGTGTCCCAAACAGGATGGTCTGCAAAACTGTGGCCCTGCCCACAAGGAGGCATGCCGACGATGCCCTCACAAGGGACCTCAAGGGACAGCGTGAGGGGTCACCCACACTCCAAGGAGAAGCACCTAGGCAGGGACTCTGCCCACTGTCCCCAAGTGGACCTAGGTGGCTTTAGAAGCCACGTGGCAAGACAGAATGGAAACTGCAGCTACCTGGGAAAACACTGGGTGGGTGGGTGGTTCCTCCAAAATTGTCAAAGGGGCAGGGCCTGGAGGGCAGGCCTGGCACCCCAGTGCTTAGGGGGGCCAGGCTCGGGGACTGCAATAGTTTCTAAACAGCCTGAGCTACTGGAAAGTTCCAGGCCAGCCTGTCTCAAAAACAAACAACAGCAAAACCGTTAGAACATGCACTGGGGACAGACAGACACACACACACACACACACACACACAGAGAGAGGTTCTTGCAAAACTATTTTACTTGAACAAAAAAACTCCGCACTGAAACTCCTGCCTAGGCTCCAGTGAGCTGAACCGTTGCTATGGAGACTACAGAGCTGGTCAAAACTTTAAGACTGCGGCTCAAACCCAAGAGCACTCTCCCACTGAGCACATCCAGCCTAGCTGGAAGCTTCATGTTTGGTCCTTTTAATTACTTTGCGGACCAGGTCAGTACTTGGGTCTCCCACGAGTGCTCTCCATGTTGTCTACTAAGACAGGGCTTTCACTGAACCCCTAGGTTGCTCCAGGAATCTCTTATCTTCCTAGCTGTCTGTCCAGCTTTTATGTCAGTGCAAACTTTATCCACTCAACTGTCTCCTCAATTCCTGGTTTGTTTTGCAGACAGAGACTCATGTAGCCCAGGCTGGCCTCTAACCCAGTGTGTAACCAAACATGATCTCGACCCCTCTGGTCCTTCTGCCTCGGCCTCCCTCCTGCATGCAGGTGACAGGCATCAGTCAATGCCACCCTGCTTCTCTGAGTGGCCCTAAGTGTCACAGAGCTTTTCTCCAGCGTCAGTCCAGGTGCCCAGCCAGGACCCAACCACAGTAGCGGCCTGGCACCCCTCTGCACTGACAGACTCCTGAGAAGCTTCTTGTCATTTGTGACCCTGACAGAGCGGCCAGGAGCCCTGCAGGTACTGCCTTTACTCTGAGTCAGCCATCACTCTGACTACAGTAGCTCTGTCTGGTTCTGTGGTCACACACAGTGGCCAAAAACCACAGGGATTCAGAGACTCAGGTGTGCCTCAGTAGAGAGCAATTGTCCACCCGCATACTGCCCTGGAATCTTCCTCAGGACCCCAAAAAAGAAAAGGAACAAAGTGTGACACGGGTCCTGAAGGCCAGGTTCTGGAACCCAGGTCCTCAGAGGCCATGTGAGGCCACTAGGAAGTCCTCCCAGATGCCATTACACAGTCACCATGTGGTTGCTGGGGATTGAACTCAGGACCTCAGAAAGTGCTCTCAACTGCTGAGCCATCTCTCCAGCCCCCAGAAGGAACTGTTCTTTAATCTTACAGCCCTGTGAGTACAAGTGCCCTCAGGGACCAGAGGCTTCAGAACCCAGAGAACTAAAGCTACAAGGTGCGTTAAGGCACCCTGTGTGGCCGCTGAGAGTTGAATCCAAAAGTCCTCAGCAAGGGCAGCAAAACCTCTTCAGCGCGGAGCCATGTCTCCAGCCTCCTGAAAGCAATCTTACTTTTCAGTGCTGGGCAGCGAACCAGCCCTTCACTGGGGGTTCCTAAGCCATGCTCTCACCCTTCAGTTTCCTTCTATTTCTTTTTTAAAATCTTTCTTTGGTTTTTGAGACAGGGTCTCACTAAGTAGCCCTGGCTGTTCTGGAACTTGCTATTGGCCACGCTGGCTCTGAAACTCAGAGAGGTCCACTTGCCTCCGCTCCCCAAGTGCTGAAACTAAAGGCCTGCGCCGCCACACCTGAGTCTTTTTTAGTTTTTCTGACAGGATGGTTGCCCAGATTGATGTGGAGTTTGCAATTCCCCTTCCTCAGGCAAGAAGTAACTTGAGTTCATGGCCGGGGTCACCACAGACATTGCTTCTACATGTTGGTGGGTAGGATCCAGACAGGGATGCCAACACTGGCAGATCTCATGTGCCTTCCCCACAAAACCTTCCGGAGAGACTGTTACAAGCACAATACGGAGGCAACACATTCAAGCAGTCCCACATGGGGTTATCTCAATGAGTCCAGTTCACAGGTAGGGAAACTGAGGCCCAGAGAGCTCATGATAAAGAAGGAAGGACCTGAAGGGTCTTTCTGGTGACTTCCAACAAGTCAGACCACCAACCTCTCAGCAACCCTCCGTAGCACCACTAAAAAACCTGAGCCACTTGGAAGCCAAGCCCCCCACTGGCCACTGTTCCTCCACCCAGCCCCCCCCTCCACAAGCTCTCTGGGGGCCACAGACTGTCATCCCACTTGCTCTGGCTCCCACCTGAGTGGGAGCCCTCTGAGTCTACAATCCCCTCACCCCTGCCCCTCCAGCACTAAGAGCAGGAGACTACTTCTCCCCTTCCCAGAGGTCTACACACACCCACACCCACATTCCCCACCCTGCCACCAAGCCCGACCAACTACCACACAGAAGCAGGCTCGTGGCCAGGAACTGTGTCGGCAGGCAGTACATGTCACCACAGCTCACACAGGGCTCTTGAAAAGCCTCAATCCTTTCTGAGGCTGTGCCAGACCCATGCCCACCCCCAAAGAGCTCAACTCATTGGGGCCATGGTAAGGTCTGGGGATGATGGCTCAGACAGGCTGGAAACTCAGGGGAAGAACAAGAGGCCAAGAGGCTCTGATGGTGACAGCAGGTCAGATGGTATGAGGTGTGAACACAGGGATCGAGATGGTAGGGTAAGGAGGGCATCTAGGGGGTCATGGGTGGGATCGGAGGGAGGCCCTAGAACCAGGTTAAAGGGAGGCAGGACCCAAGAGAACGTCCAGGGCTGGGAGGCTCCAGAGTCCAACAACTACACTGTGGGAAGGGAGACATAAGAACTAGGTTCAGGTTGAGAGGTGGGGTCAGGAATCAACCCTAAGGTAAAAGCTGAGGCCCGAGATTCAGGGTCTAGAGGTGGTGATGAAAGGTGTGGGTGGGGTGTAGAGTCTGAGGTACATGGTACTGAGGGATTGCAAGTTTTTGGGGTGCAGGGTTCTAGCGTACAAGGTCTGGGGTGCAGAATCTAGGAAGAAAGAATCTGGGTGCAGTCCAGGTTCTTAGGATTAGGGTTGGGTGCAGGGTTCAAATAGAGTGCAAGGTCTGGCTTCAGGGTTTGGGATGAGGGATCCTGGCATGCAGGGCCTGGATGGGGGTGCAGGGTCCAGGTGAAGTGCAGGATCCGGGTGGGGAACAGAATGGGGGGTGCAGGGTCTGAGTGGGCTACAGGGTTTGGATTGTAGGGTCCAGGTGGGGTGCATGGTCTGTGATGCACGGTCCCGGGTAGGGTGCAGGGTTTCAGGGTGCTGGTTCCTGGGGTGCAGGGTCCGGGTGGGGTTCAGGGTCCGGGGATGCAGGGTCTGGGGTTGCAGGGTCCAGGCGCGTCCCGGCGGCCCACCTGTGCGCGGGGACGCGCTGCGAGCTGAGCCCCTTGCCCACCAGGAAGTGCACGTCGCACAGCACCTCGTTGTTGAAGAGGAAGGCGAAGCGCTCCTGCACCGTGGGCTTGGTGGCCTGCCAGTTGTACACGGGCTCGCGCAGCAGCGCGCCCGGGCCCGCGTCGTCGCGCTCGTCGCCCACGGCCTGCGCGTCGGTCCCGGGCCCAGGCGGCGGGGACGGGGGCGGCGGAGGCCCCGGGGCACAGGCGGCAGCGTTGCTGGGGGCCGCGGCCGCGTTGGCGA